TTAAGAGAGACCTCAAATGAAGATGGAGATAATGTTGTTTGAAATGATTGGGAAACCTTTCAGGCAGAGAACAGTAGGAGTGAAAGCAGGAGGTGTGGCTGTACATGGCATGCTGGCAGGTCAGTGAGTTGTGTGTTGTGGATAAAGTAGGTCAGTGTGAATGAGTGATGGATTGGTGAGTTCAGTGGGATCTGAGGCTGGAAAGAGAGGCTGGGGCCAATGATGTGTGGTTTCAGGCACCTGGATATGCAGCACCTGGTGTCTGTCAGGTGCTGTGGTAGACTCATCCGACTGACTAGCAAGACATAGTTCCTGCCTCCAAGAAACTCATTCTCTAGTGAATAAAGAACCCAAAAAATAATTACAAAGAGGCTGAAATGTGCAACAAGGACATATGTAATGTGGAAGACACAAAGTAAGGAATAACATACTCTGCCTGTGGAAATCAGGATACTGTTACTCAGGAGGATTGCAGAGGCCAAGTGGCGGTTTCTGGAGGGTGTGAGATGGAGCATTGTTTAAAAAAGATTTTCCAAACAGAGGTGGCAGCATGGACAGAAGGACAGAAGTAAGTGTGCTCAGGCTCCATGCATCTCTCTTATGTTTTTCTTCCTTGCGTCTAGCTAGAGGAAATGCAATCCTGAAATCCGAGTTTGGACTTAAGGTAGAAATGGAGATACTCCTTTGGCTTCTGGTCCACTCTCGGTTGGGTCAATGTAATCTACCAGCACCAGAGTCCTTATTGTGGTATTAGGTGCTGGCCCATCTTTAATGATGAAGCAGTACTTTATTTCTCATCTCGGTATTGATTCTCATGTAAATCTGTCTCAGAAATCTTATATGAGGAAGTGGTGATTACAAGGCAAGATTCAGGTTTTCCCGCATTCCCGTAAAAACCTTACCCACCCCTAATAATTCGGGGTGTAGAACTTAGTTCTGCTCAGAGCAGACAAGGCTGTGATTGGAAATTCTAAATTTCCAGAGACTTCTACAAAGTTATTTGTTGCTGTCTTGGCTCAGTGGCTCTCCTTATTGCCTGTCTCAGAGCTCTGCAGTGTCTTGCATTCTGATGGTAGGAAGCCTTAGGGGGCACAAAGCAGGTGTTTTGAATTTCAAGTGATTCAGCGTCACTGGGGACATGACGTACTAGAAATGACAGTCTCTCCGTTTCCACCTGCCAGGAACTTGGGGACCAGTGGCAGCCTCTTCCCAAATCATGAATATGATAAATAGCTTTGTGTTCCCCAGGAGGTTACCTTCTTAGAGTAATTCAGACTGAGAAGATACTTTCTAAATAGAAAGTTGAGTTACAACTCAGAAAGCATTTAAGCATATTGGAATCTTTATGTACATAATTTATTTGTTTCTTTGGGTTCTATCATTTTCATTTGAGTCCAAGGAATTGTCCTCATTGCATAGTCAGTGGTGGTGTAGAAGGGTGCTGTCACAGGTTGGGTTTCCTGGGAAGCAGACGCTCAGGTGGAGTGTATTAGTCAGCTCAGGCCACCATAACAAAATACCACAGACTGGGGGCCTTAAACAACAGAAATTTATTTTCTCACAGTTCTGGAGGCTGAAAGTCTGAGATTAGGGTGCCAGCATGGTCAGGTTGACCTGAAGGTTCTCTTTCTGGCTTGCAAATATCCACCTTGTTGCTGTGGGCTTACGTGACTATTTCTTTGTGCATGCACATGGAGAGAGAGATTTCTTTCTCTCTCTTTCTCTTTTTATAAAGTCACCACTCCTGTCGGTTTAGGACTCCACCCTTATTCCCTCATTCCACCTTAATTGCCTCCTAAAAGCCCTATCTCTTCCTAAAAGTACAGTTGCATCAGGAGTTAGGGCTTCAACATATGGATTTGGGGGGACACAATTCAGTCTATAGCACAGAGATGGTCCTTGCAGGAGCTTTATTAAGGAGTACTCAGGTTCATCACTTCTAGAAGGGAAGAGAAGGAAGCAGGATTGAACAAAAGGAGAGGTTGGGCTATGAAGCAGTCTCACCAAAGACATCAGTTGACCCTCGCGGCAGCTCTAAAGCTGGAGAAGGCCTTTCAGGTTTGAGGTCTTTTATAGCCAAGTCAATCAGTCATTGGGTGTGAACTGCCCCTAGTGAGAGCATTATTATTCTCTCCTTGTTGATCTGTACGTATTTTAAGGCTATGTGGATAGATTTCCAGGCAGCTGCCATGATTTCATAGGAATGTGAAAGCCTTTTCCAAATTCTTGCTGTAGATGATGATTTTGATGACTCATTTCTGAGGGGGAAAATAAAACACAGGGAGAATCCAGACCAAAGGATTGTGCCTCTGAAGTCAGCATAGAGATAAGACACTCAAAATCTGAACTTGGGTGAAAATGCAGAAGATAGCAGCATCAAAAATATATATCACATTGGATGACTCAGCTCCTTACTAACCCACTCATCTGTCTTTATTTTCTTAAAATCTAGGCTGGCTGGCTCAGTTAGCTAAGCTGACCATTTCACATCCTCACTTCTCATTTAGAAAATGCTTTCATCTAGAAAATATTTACCATTTCTCCATCCTTCTATATTCAGCCACTGCAAACCTTTGGGGCTTTAGCTTTCCCTAATCTCAAAGAATTAATGTTCCCATTCTGACCTTCTTAGCATGCCTGTGCTGTGGCCTGTCTAGCAATCCCCACAGGTGTAATAACTTGGTTAATACTGATGTCTCTATTGATCCCACGTTAGTCCCATGAAGCTAGGGAACCGTGCTGTCTTAGTCACCATTGTATCATCACCATCTAGCACACTGCTTAGCACACACTCAGTCTTCAAATATTATTTGCTGGATAAATAAATGGATGAGTCAATGAATGTTAACAAGGAAAATGTATCAACCAGACCTTTTGGGGTCATTTAGTATCTATGACCTGCAGTCCACAGTTCTCTGTCGACATACTAAAATGTACCACTTTTTAATAACTCATTTTGAAAAATAATTGCCCAAATTGTACATGGTCATGCTTTCTCCTCAGACCATCACTTGGGAGAAAAACATCTCAAGATCTGTCTTCTTGACAAACGTCAGCAACAATCTGTAATAACAAAAAAAGTCAGTGATTTTCATTTATCTTCATGGTCTCTGACAACACGTTAGGAGGGTCCCACAGGGAGATCCACACATCTACTCATATCCCTTACTGAAGAGCAGTCCTTTATCATGAGTAGTCTTCCTCTTTGACTGCAGCAGTCTGGGGAATACTTACCTCACTGGTCAGAGCACCACCTTGCTTTTCAAAGAATTCACAGCTAGCTCCCCCTAGCATCCATTACCCCTTTTGAGCAAAGACCATGTCAGGTTTGTCTTGGCCAGGTGGGAGAGCCTGAGCCTAAGTAATGTAAATCTTTTATGTTTCTCTGTTAATGTTGGTCCTTGAGTTGACGAGGAATATCTAGTTTATTGGAATAACTTGTCTTGAGTTTTAAGGAAGCTGTTGCAAATGTGTGGCATGGCTGCTTGTATTCTCACACTGGTCTCTGTGGGAGACATCATCAGTTATTAACAACATTTATTCCCATTAAACCTAATACTTCTTCAGAATCTTTCTCAACATAGTATTTTAGGCAGCCTCTACCATTTACCATGTTGATGTGTGAGATGAAACCTCTTCCATCCTTACTCTAAAATAAGCCCTGATTTAATTTGGCAAACTCTAACTCAAGAACACATCAGAAAAACGAATGATGGACTCAAGGAGTAGTGTAAATACACGATTGGATGGATCAAACCTGTTTATATATGTTCCAGTTACCAGGACTTTCATGCACATCTTTTATTTGATACTTATGTCTACGCAATAGCAAATCAGACATTTTCTTCCCATTTTGTATGTTAAAAAATCAAGACTAAGGGGCCAGCTTGGTGGCTGAGTGGTTAAGTTCGTACACTCTGCTTCAGCAGTCTGGGGTTCGCTGGTTTGGATCCTTAGCATGGACCTACACACTGCTCATCAGGCCATTCTGTGGTGGCTTCCCACATAGAAGAACTAGAATGACTTGCAACTAGAATATATGACAAGGTCCTGGGGCTTTGGGGAGGGGGAAAAAATCAAGACTGAAAGGAGTTTAAGGAGTTACTTGGAATGAAAAACCTAACAAATAAAAAAAAATTGATCTTCTGATTCCAAATTATTTTCATTTTCTATAGAAATTACTATTTCTATAGAGTTATTTTATAATTAGAATTATTTTCTATTGTAATTATAGAATTGTTTTCCATATAACTAGAATTATTTTCATTTTCTATAATTTCATTCTATGTCCTAACTGACTGATGTATAAAGGATGTGAAGTGGGAAATTCCTAAGGTTAAAAAGATACTGTGGCAAGCTTCTCTTTTCTGATAAGAGGCCAATTAAAGGCATCAGGGCTAAAACATGATCCTAGTACAAACTTTACTCAAGACAGCTGAAAAGGTCTTCTGACTCAGAGAGGAAAACTGGTTGTTTTCCAGAACTATTGTCAAAATATTGGCTGATTACTCTCTTTCTGGCAAACAAACTGCTTAAAAACCATCGTGGGGTGCTCCTGTTAAGCCCCATTACTAAGAAAGAACGCAGAAAACATTAATATGCTTTCTTAGCACAGGCATAGTCACTTTGGGAAGGAAAACAACACTGAGAATCCATATCTGGCTGTACTTCTGTATTTTCCACAGAGAATACAACCCCCATCACGACTCTCAGGGTCTTCCAGACAGGTTCAGTACCAATGGGTCTGTCTCCTTGGTGTTTTTTGAGGCTAATTGGACAGCCTGAATTTTAACAGTGTAAAAAAATAATTATAAGGAATCCAGGGGCTGGGAAGTGGGGGTCAGAGTATGAGTATTTCTAAAATAAATGTGTGTGTGTGTTAATGTTTGGAAATGAATAACCTGAAAACAAAGCATGAAGTCTACTAAATTTAGAAGGCCTTCCAAATTTATATGTGATAGATTCAAAAACTTAGGTTGGAAAAAATAAAAACAAAATCATTCAAGAACAACAAAAATAAAATTTCTGTAATAATAGAGAACTCTATGTATCCAATATTGAAATCAACCATACAGGATAATTAATTAAATACAAAGTCATTATTTTAGGTACATTGAACAATCAAAGAAATCCAGACCAATGGGCATGAAAAGCAAGCTGTCCTATTTAAAAGCATAAAAATATAGAACATATAGAGATAGATCTTAATTTTAGTTTTACATTAATCAGGTCTTTTATTTACTTTGGTTTTGTGATAGGTGCTTCCTTGAGTAGCCCCTTCCTCTGCTCCGTAAAATGGACAACCTTGACTGCAGACTCAGTCCCATGTAGACTGAGCCAATCCCGATGAAGGCCTGTATCATATCAGAATCCTGATGAACCAGGTGGTAGGACGCAGATGGTCAAAGCCTAGCACTGGTAGCACTTAGGTTGACCCCTGAGTAACATTTCAAAGAAATTATTGTTTCTTGTGTCTCTTTATCTTTGGTGTAATATAACCATAAAGAAAGAGTGCCAGCAGAATGCCTATTGCATAGATTCATTTTCTGTGCCTGCTATTATTGAAAACAGATCAATGATCTATCACAAAACAGCCAAACATCGATACCTTATATTCAAGGAAAATCCACTGTTGTTAACTTGATGTCCTTTGTTCTCCATACTTTGCAATATGAAATATTTCTTTCCTGTTGTATTTGCATATGCTGCACAGAGATTTTTGGTTTCCTGGAATTTCAGCCACATGTCACACCATCATTATCACACAGTGATATTTCAAAACTCAGAACAAATGAAAACTCCCTAAATGTTGTAAAGGATTTGTGCAGTAAAGTGACATGAGTTCAGAATTTGACTCAGTGGTTCTTGTTTAGACTCTGATCATGTACCAGGCAGAAGCAGGCAGTATTGCACAGGGGAACATGATGTACTTTGAACTCAGAGTTATCTATCGAGATTGAAAAGAAATGGTTTGGATTATCCTATCAGATGCACAGGAATCAGAGCTCTTCCTCAGTACTGAACTTTACTAGTAATGTGATGTTCTAAGCAATACATGCAAGACATTGCTTGTTATAGAAGGGACCATTTTGGTTATAGTTCCTTTTTAGCCTTCAATATAGCTTATGTGACACTTTCCAGTGGGCCATGTCCCATGTTTCTTTGAATTCCTAGGGTGTGTACAATAAGCAACTTAGACCAGGTATATTCTGCTAAAAGCATTTCACATCAAAGGACTCTCTCTATTCTCCTTCTCTCAGTAGGTTTGCAGGGGACTTTGACCAATGCAGCCTGTTCTTCCTCAGGTGTCCTTGGTGAAGAAAGAAAGAATTTTACGGATATCGTAGGCTGACTGCTGCCCTTTCTTCGCTCTGTGAGTGCAAATCCTTACTTCATTTCTTGCTCTCTGATTACGCTGGGGCACCTTGGGCAGTTTCCACCACACAGGTCTGGAGACTCCAGGCATTCACACTTCAGGTTATCATTTTTCCTTCCTCCTTAGATAAACAATGAGACTAACAAAATGTAACTGTTAAGTATTGTTCTCAAGAATCTCACATCAAGAAGTGTGTGCACCTTTCCCAGAAATATACTTTCCACTTCATGGCAACAAATGAAACAAGAAATACTTTCACACTTCTCTAAGAATTCTGTGTTAAAAAAAAAAAAAAAGTACCAGCTCACAGTTTTAATGCTACTACTAATGAACCAAAACTATCTAAAGTAATAGAGTCACGTTTCCATACCACCACTGCCAATTATCTCTGACCCTGGGCCGGCATCACCAGTGGCAGGTAATAGGAGAAAGATGTGGCAGTCATCCAAGTAGGTTTGAAGAAATCTGCTAAAATTTTAATGGTTGTGGAATGTCCAGTACGGACTGGTGTTAAAGTATGGAATCACTGGGAGGCCTAGAGACAAAGGAAGTTTGCATTCACTGGTAGATTAGGGGCAAGTCCGGAGTCCAGAGAGAGCTCCCTCAGTGGTGCTGTGCAGGAGGGGATCTGCCACCACTCCAGGAAGGGCGTGAAGCCCCACCCCCTGCTTAGACTCTTCTCTCAAGTGGGAAAAAGCCTTAAATGGGTGAAGGGCAGCAATCCCTGTACCACCAAGGCCACTGCTGCTGAATAAAGTGAGGGAAAGCCCTGTCTCCTCACGGGGAAGCAGTAGGCAGAGTCCTCTGCCCCAAATGCTATAAAATTATTAGAGATCTCCTAACACTAGCGGAGGAGCGACACCTCTCCCCTGCGCATGACTCACCACGGACAGCAGGCAGAGTTTGGGTGCCACCGGGAAGAGGGGCTCGAATGCTGAGGAAGTTCCACTCACAAGGCCCAGGCACACAGGTCTTCCCTACACTGAGCTGAGCCGGGCTCCCTACCACCAGCCTAGGAAGCTCTGGGGAACAAGCGACAGCAGTCTGACACAGAGAAAGGGCAAAAGCGTGAAGAGGGTTCCCTTATGTGGTGTACGCATATTGGGATGGCAGAAAACAGAAGGTGGAGCACAAACATTGAGACAAAACCTAAGAGGAATTTGAAGTTTATGGTGCGTGGCGGTAGTCATAGCAACAACAAAGCCCAAGTCCAGCTTAACTCCTGACTAGATTGACTCAACCGCCAATGCTCATGGCCTAACCGAAAAGGAGGCATGCCCATTTCCAAGCATAAATTCTATTTCCCACAGTCTCTGCTGTTATACACAATATGCCTGGCATTCAGTAGTAATAATAATATTTAAAAAGTACAAGACACAGGCACACACACACCAATCTCTTGTCAAAAGGAAAACAATCAATGGAACTAGATTTAAAGGTGACTCAGATGTTGGAACTATCAGACAGGGACTTTAAAACAATGATGTTTAATATCTTAAAACAGCTACTGGAAAATGTTGATAATATGCATAAAGATGGAGGGCATTTCAGCAGAGAGTTGGAACTATAACAAAGTCAAATGGAAATGTTAGAAGTAAAGAACTTGGTGTAAAAGATGAAGGCTCCATTTGCCAGGCTCGTCAAGAGACACAACGCAGCAGGGGTGGGAACCAGGGAGTCTGAATATAGATGAAGAGAAAACACCGAAACCGGATAACAACGGGGAAAAAACAGTAGGGAAAAAACAGAACCGATCTCCAACAGCTATGGAACAATGTTAAATGGGTTAATATACATGTAGTTGGAGTCCCAGAAGAATGAGAGAGAGAACATAGCAGAAGACGTATTTGAAAAGAAAATGACTTCCAAAAGTAATAAAAGCTAGGAAACTGCAGATCTAAAATGCTCAGAGAAACAAAAGAAAGATAAGTGAAAAATAAAGCACACCTAATAGAGCATATTTAACCTTCTGGTAACTAAAGAAGAAGAGAAAACAGTAAATGTAGACACAAAAAAAGGGATGTTACAGATACTGAAAAAAGATACGGTTTATAGGAGACTTCTCACCATACACGATGCAAGGCAGATGACAAAGGAGTGACACCTTTAAATATAAGGAAAAAATTTCTAACTCTTAATTTTATACCAAGTGAAAAGATCTGTCAAAAATGAAGGTCAATAGTTTTTCATCGAAACAACAAGGGTTGGAGAGAATGTGGAGAGAAGGGAACCCTCATACACTGCTGGTGGGAGTGCAAACTGGTGCAGCCACAATGGAAAGCAGTATGGAGTATCCTCAGAAAATTAAGAATAGATCTAACATACGATCCAGCTATTCCACTGCTGGGTGTTTATCCAAAGAACTTGAAAGCACAAATGCATAAAGATACATGCACCCCTATGTTCATCACAGCATTATTCACAATAGCCAAGACTTGGAAGCAACCTTGGTGCCCATCAAGGGACAAATGGATAAAGAAGATGTGGTATAGATACACAAAGGAATACTACTCAGCCACAAGAAATGATGAAATCCAGCCATTTGTGACAACATGGATGGACCTTGAGGGTATTATGTTGAGTGAAATAAGTCAGAGGGAGAAAGTCAAGTACCGTATGATCTCACTCATAAGTAGAAGATAAAAACAATGACAAACAAACACATAGCATTGGAGATTGGATTGGTGTTTATCATAGGGGAAGGGGGGTGAGTGAAAGGGGTGATTAGGCTCACATGTGAAGGGATGGGCTATAATTTGTTTTTGGATGGTGAACATGATGTAATCTACACAGAGTTCGAAATATATTATGATGTACATCTGAAAGTTATATAATGTTATAATCCAATGTTACTAAAATAAATAAATATTTAAAAAAATTAAAAAATTAGTTTTCCATAAAAAAATGGAGAGAATTAATTGCTGAGACCTGTGATACTGGAAGTTTCTTAGGTGGGAGGAATACAATACCAGATAGAAACGTGCATCTACACAAAGAAATAAAGAGCTTTCAAATGGTAAAGGTGAAGATAAATGTAGAAGATACCATTATTCTTATTTTTTAATTACTTTAAAACATAATTTACTATTACAAGCAAAAATCCTTACAGTATTGGATTGGGAGATATGTAAAATTAAAATGTATGGTAATAATATCAGAAATGGGAGGGGAGAAAAAATGAACATATAGTACTTTGTTGTAAGGTTCTTACACTATACATGAAGTGGTAAAATATTGTTTGAAGATAGACTGAGATAAATAAGATGTATGTTGTAAACTCTAGAGTGACTTCTAAAGTTTAAAAAGAAAAAAGGCATAGCTAATAAGCTAATAGTGAAGATGAATAGAATCTTAGAAAATAAATCCAAAAACAGGCAGTAAAAGTAGAAAAAAAAAGAATAAATAACAGATGGAGCAAATAGAAAATGTCCAATAAAATAGTAGATTTAAATCTAACACTACAAATATTTATAGTATATGTATAAGGTCCAATCATTTCAATTAAAAGATAAAGGTTTCCAAACGGAAAAAAACATGACCACACTATATACTATTTACAAGAAAAAAAATTCACTACAAATATAAAGATGTTGATAAGTTAAAAGCAATAGGACAGCATCTGGCCCCGTGGCCGAGTCGTTTAAGTTCACATGCTCTGCTTTGGCGGCCCAGGGTTTCGCTGGTTTGGATCCTGGGTGTGAACATGGTACTGCTTGTCAGGCCATGCTGAGGCAGTGCCCCACATGCCACAACTAGAAGGACCCACAACAAAAATATACAACTATGTACTGGGGGGATTTGGAGAAAAAAAGCAGGAAAAAAAAAGGAGATTGGCAACAGATGTTAGCTCAGGTGCCAATCTTTAAAAAAAAAAAGTATTCTTTATTCTATTTCTGTGAAAATTGTTGTTGGAACTTTGACAGGGATTGCGTTGAATCTATAGATTGCTTTAGGAAGTATGGACATTTTAACTATGTTAATTCTTCCAATCCAAGAGCACGGAATATCTTTCCATTTCTTTGTGTCTTCTTTGATTTCTTTCAAAAATGTTTTATAGTTTTTGGTGTACAGATCTTTCACCTCTTTGGTTAAGTTTATTCCTAGGTATTTTATTCTTTTTGTTGCAATTGTAAATGGGATTGTATTCTTAATTTCTCCTTCTGCTACTTCGTTGTTAGTGTATAGAAACACAACGGATTTTTGTACATTGATTTTGTATCCCGCAACTTGACTGTATTCCTTTATTATTTCTAAAAGTTTTTTAGCGGACTCTTTAGGGTTTTCTAGATATAAAATCATGTCATCTGCAAAGAGTGACAGTTTCACTTCTTCTTTTCCAATGCGGATCCCTTTTATTTCCTTTTCTTGGCTGATTTCTCTGGCTAGGACTTCTGATACTATGTTAAATAAGAGGTGACAGTGGGCATCCTTGTCTGGTTCCTGTTCTTAGAGGGATAGCTTTCAGTTTTTCTCCATTGAGAATGATATTTGCTGTGGGTTTGTCATACATGGCCTTTATTATGTTGAGGTATTTTCCTTCATACCCATTTTATTTAGAGTTTTTATCATAAATGGATGCCATATTTTGTCAAATGCTTTCTCTGCATCTATTGAGATGATCATGTGATTTTTATGCTTCATTTTGTTAATGTGGTGTATCACATTGATAGGTTTGTGGATATTGAACCATCCCTGCATCCCTAGAATGGCCCACTTGATCATGATGTATGATCTTTTTAATGTATTGTTCTATTCTATTTGCTAGTATTTTGTGGAGGATTTTTGCATCAATGTTCATAAGTGATATTGGCCTGTAATTTTCTTTTTTTGTGTTGTCCTTCTCTGGTTTCGGTATCAGGATAACGTTGGCTTCGTAGAATGAGTTAGGAAGCTGCCCCTCCTCTTCAATTTTTTGGAAGAGTTTGAGAAGGATAGATATTAAGTCTTCTTTGAATGTTTGGTAGAATTCACCAGGGAAGCCATCTGGTCCTGGACTTTTATTTTTTGGGAGGTTATTTATTGCCGTTTCAATCTCCTTACTGGTGATCAGTCTATTCAAATTTTCTGCTTCTTTTTGGCCCAGTTTTGGAAGGTTGTATGTTTCTAAGAATTTATCCATTTCTTCTAGATTATCCAATTTGTTGGCGTATAGCTTTTCATGGTATTCTCTTATTATCTTTTGTATTTCTTTTTTTTTTTTTGAGGAAGATTGGCTGTGAGCTAACTACTGCCAGTCCTCTTTTTTGCTGAGGAAGCCTGGCCCTGAGTTAACATCCATGCCCATCTTACTCTAGTTTATATGTGGGACACCTGCCACAATATGGCTTGCCAAGCAGTGCCATATCCACACCCGGGATCTGAACCAGAGAACCCCAGGCTGCCAAGAAGCAGAACATGCAAACTTAACCACTGCACACCTGGGCCGGCCCAATCTTTTGTATTTCTGAGGTGTCCATTGTAATCTCTCCTCTTTCATTTCTGATTTTATTTATGTGAGCTTTCTGTACTTTTTCTTGGTGAGTCTAGCTAAGAGTTTGTCAGTTTTGTTTATCTTTTCAAAGAACCAGCTCTTGGTTTCATTAATTTTTTCTATTGTTTTTTTAGTCTCTATATCATGTATTTCTTCTCTGATTTTTATTATTTCCTTCCTTCTGCTGATTTTGGGCTTTGTTTGTTGTTCTTTTTCCCAGTACCTTTACGTGTGCTTTTAGATTGTCCATTTGGGATTTTTCTTCTTTGTTGAGGTAGGCCTGAATTGCTATAAACTTGCCTCTTAGAACCGCTTTTGCTGTATCCCACAGATTTTGACATGTTGTATTTTCATTTTCATTTGTCTCCAGGAATTTTTTGATTTCTCCTTTGATTTATTCATTGACCCAATCGTTGTTCAGTAGAATTTTATTTAATCTCCACATTTTGGTGGTTTTTCTGGTTTTCTTCCTGTAGTTGATTTCTAGTTTCATACCTTTGTCGTCAAAAAAGATGCATGGTATTATTTCGATCTTCTTAAATTTATTGAGACTTGTTTTGTGGCCTAATATGTGATCAATCCTGGAGAATGTTCCACATGCATTTGAAAAGAATGTCTATTCTGTGGTTTTTGGATGGAATGTTCTTTATGTATGTACCAGGTACATCTGGTCTAATGTGTCCTTTAAGGCCACTGTTTCCTTATTGATCTTCTGTTTGGATGATCTATCCATTGGTGTAAGTGGAGTATTAAAGTCCCCTACTAT